AAGCCATGACCTTGAAGGGTATCCAGAGTAATCTTGGTATCCAAATTCGCTTGATGTCTGGAAGATGACAAAATTAAAATATCATCCAGATAACATTGTAAACGAATAGATTTGATCCTGAGGGAGGCAGCCAAAGCCGCTAGGACCTTGGTAAAAGTCCTAGGGGCCGAAGCCAGACCGAATGGTAGGGTGATATATTTGTAGTGCCGATTACAATAGCAAAATCTAAGATATTTGTAGTGAGCAGGTCTAATTGGTATATGTAGATAAGTCTCTGTCAGATCTATAGAGGTCAGGGCATCGTTCTCTCTGATGCTGAGCAGAATGGACTGGAGAGTAGTCATCTTCAATTTTCGATAAACCAATGATTTATTCAAATGTTTGAGGTCCAGAATTGCCCTCCAGCCCACCGAACACTTTGGGACCACAAACAATAGAGAGTAACAGCCTTGACCCCGTTGTTCAGATGGGACCTCTCTAATGGCCCGAATATGCAGAAGATGATTGATAGCCTCCTGCATCAACGCTCTCTTAATGGGGTCCGTGGACCTAGGGCTCCTAATGAAAAAGTTCGGGGAGGGGAGGATTGAAACTCTAGCGCCAAACCAAACCTAACAGAGTTCCTGACCCACACATCAGAGGTGGAGCTGTCTCATTGACCAGCAAACAATTTTAGCTGCCCTCCAATGGGAGCTGCTGTCAAGGACTCACTTGGGGTGACGAAAAAATCAGCCTCCGGTACCTCTGAGTTTTTTTCTGTTTTGGCCTCCCCACTGACCTCTATCAGAAGATTCCGACCTATCCTGTCTAAAACTGGGTCTGTAGCCTGATGTTCTCTGTGATCTGGGAATGTATGGGCCTTGATAGTAGGGCCGAAAGGAATCCCTTCGAAACGACTGGGGCGTTCTGTGTTCAGACCTCTGAAAAAGAGGGGGAAGCACTTTTTTCTTGTTTCTATTCTCAATAGGCAGGTGCTCCAAGACACTGCCAAATAATTTATCCCCCGATATTGGGGTTGATGCCAGCTTGCATTTATGCTTGGTATCTGCCTGCCAATGTCTGAGCCATAGTAGTCTCCATGCTGATATGTGAGATGCTATGGCTCTAAACGAGAATTTGACTGCATTAAATGTGGCGTTGGAGGAGAATTCTGCCGCTGCGATAATCTTAGGAATGTCCTGGTGGGCTCTGACATTTGATGCCGGCAATATATCCCTCAAGTGGAAGAGCCATCGTAGGGAGGACTGTGTAAAAAAGGATGCAGCTGTAGCTGCCCTAATGGCCCAGGCGTCAGAAACATGCACCCTACGGAGTGCCAACTCTGCTCTTTTTTCCTCTGGTCTCAGTGCTTCCTTGGCCTCGTTGGGAAAGGTTGAAGAAGAGGCCAGTGCCACAATGGGCTCATTCACCTCTGGCGTTTTGAGAAAATTTGAAAACTCTGGTGACAAATTATAATACCTGTTGGGGCTGGGTAAGATGCTGCTGATGCCCATTGATTTTGTACTAATTCAGCAAACATACGAGGGACAGGAATAGTTTCTGTCTCATTAGCTGGTTGTGAGAACATTAGATCCTCGGATTCGTCCCCTGTTGACAATGGATGAGGGCTTGATGTGCCTAGTTTAGCAGTGTTCTTTGCTTTGAACAGTAAAGATTTAAAGAGGTACAAATGAAAAAGACCAGAAAAGGTAGGTTGGTCCAGAATGAGGCCTTCGTCATCTGGCATTCCTTGTTCTAGTGGGTCAGCCTCTGACAACCCCAAGTCTAGCTGATGGATCAACCCCACCTCCATGGGAACATCCTGGTCATCTAATTCCACCTCCTCCCGAAGACCTTGGGCTGGTATGTCAGGGATATTGGGGAATACCTGAGTTTGATGATGTCCCATATGTGCAAAGGATCGAGCAGACAGGGATCCCGCTTCCGAAGTAGCTGAAAAGTGTCTGGTCGGGATGAATTGCTGAACTCCAGCCGCAATGCCCTTTTGTATGACCATCTCCATCCATTGCCTCATTTCGATGGGAATAGTCTCAGGTAATCTCTTCTCCTGTCTTAAACCGGTGGCCGTAGGGGTGAAGGTTGCCTCTGGGATTCGCCAGGCAGTGCTCATTGGAGGAGATATGCCTATGGGAAGCTGTCCTGAAATAGCCTGTCTGGGCTGGGTGGAGTCCAAGGGCCCCAACAATGTACTTGGGCCCTGATCCGATTGTTGTGTCATAGCCATCTTGTCTGCCTCCCTGGCCCATTTCTGCAACGGCCTTTCCAAGGCTTGGTGCTGTCTATGGGCATCCTTATCTGCTGCCTTAGAGGCCTTTTGGGGGCCCACTGACTTATCTCAGGACTTATTTGTCTTGGAGCGGAAGACGTTGTCACCTTCCATTGTGGAGGACTGATTCTCGTGCCTCTAACTTTAATTTTTTTAAATTATTATTGTTGTTATTATTGATATTATTGTTGTTATTATTATTATTTGTACTTAGGGGTGATACCTACCCCTGTGGTTAAAAGTAGAACGCTTCTCCAGGAGTGTAAGTCTATACACACACACACACACACATATACGTGCCTATATCTACATGTAAAACTATGTATATGGGAAACAGTATCTAAGGGTCCCCAACAAGGAAAACCCCCAAGCGCTCCAAGCAAGAAATATTCTGGATCCCTGGTCCCCAACAAGGGAAACCAGCTATACAGGGCCTGGATGGATCATTTCCTGTCAAAAATGTCCCGCTGTTTGAAATGGCACTTACGGCTTCACTCCAATGTAATGATCCAAAAGCAATTGCAAAATGAAAAAAATTCCTGTTTAAGGACTAGCCTGCTTATCCAACCCCAGCAAGATAAAAGAGAAATAATGCCAGGGAAGTGGAGTGGGAAGGTACCTGCCCCAGTCCCCAAGAAGGGAAACCAGTGGGGAATGGCGCCTGTGATATTTAGTCGCGAACTTGAAGCCAGCCATTGAAAATGGCAGGAAGGCAGAATCTACGATGTTAATTGCCTGAGCAGTTTAACGAACCGCTGCTGCTGACTCTCTAAATTGTCAGATAAATGATCCTGTCAGTCGAAACGGCAAGAAGTGAGCCGCGGCTGTGAGTGCCCCGCCAAGATCGCAAAGATAAGACGATCGGGGGATTAGATAAGCTAATTGCCTGAAGCGGCCGTCTCACGCTGCCTGCGGAGTGGCAGGCTCCGCCAGCCACAAAGAACTGCTCTCAAACTAATCGGGGGGATGACCTAATAGAGCCACAAGCCTTGAAATCACCAAATTAATTGGGGAAAAATTTACAAGCTGAATTAACCCAAGAGCAAACCTCAATTTTGACTAGCTGAATCAGAAAACCGTTCCAGTCAGGGAGTTCACAACCTCTTACCACGAAGGCTGAGCTAAAACTGGGGGACGCTGGGGAGGTGTCCCAGGGAGGAGGAGGAGGAGCGTCCCGGAGTTTTAAGCCCAGCCTTTCCAGAAGAGACTGAAGCACCTCCCACTTCTGGATGCTCTGAACAGCTCATGGGAGAAAATAAAGGTGAAAAAACAATTTGCTCCTGTATCAAAATCAAACAAAGGAAAATTAAGTCCAGAGGCAATGCCAACCCTGTGCAAATAGTAGGTAGAGAAGTTCAAAGAAGCCACTTTCTAGATTCAAATGGTGAATATAGTCATGAAAAAAATGACTTGAGAAGAAAACTATGATAGGTCTAGACAAAATGTTTTTGGGACATGGAAAACCATGGTTTTCCCAGATGCAAATATGACTGTGAGAGTTGAATCATCAAAGAGGCTGAAACACAAATTATTTTCATTAACATTTCATTGTACATTATATGGAGCCAATTCTGATTCTGCCTTAGCAGCATGCAATATTGTAGTTGAAAGTATAATTAAAAGTGTAGTTAAAAGTCAAAAAGGCTCAATCTAAGTTGCAGTAGAGCATAGTAATTTGATAGTGCTTCAAATGATTTATTCTTAATACTGCTGAATGCAATGACATTTTGTGGAAATATGTGATTGTGATTCAAATTCTAGGATCTAACTAGACTGGACTTTGATGCTGTTTATGTTAAAAAAAAACTGATGTCCTTTAAATCCTGGATATTTTTTCAGAGATGTTTCAACTGAATAAATCAATGAAGTTGTATATCAACTATTTTAATACAAATAATGTCAGAAATGTTTCAATAGTATTGCCCATGACAAGGGAAGGAAACAAAATTGATTTTAGCTTGGCTTACTGTGATTTGTGAAATGTAATCCATGATCTGTTCCTTTAACATGAGGTGTGACACTTTCTGGGGAGTTTCACATGGTTTAGTGTAAATCGAAGACTGAGTGACACGCTATCTTGCTTTAATAGGTTTTATCATTGCGGAATGGAAATCAGGATAGGTTCTTCTCATTTTCAAGCAATTGTTTACAAGAGCTGTAATTAAGAAAACTGAGGGAAGCAACAGTTGTTGAAATATTTGGCCGTCTACCCATTATGTGGGATCTGGTGGAAAAAGCACATTCATTGTCCTGTCCAAAAGGTGGGATCCAGGAATCAAAGCCTTTTCTGCCATGGGACTTGCCTTCTGGAACCTCATCTCCCCTAAGTGGTCTTTCCTTGAAAACCTGGCTTTTGCCCTTGAGTCTGGGACCAAGAGTATGGGGGAGCTCAGTTCTTGCTCTTACCTGTGTTAACTTAGTGTTCCTAGTTGCTAAGTTACTTTATCTTAACTATGTTGTTTTAAAGTTGATTCTTTATTCTTTTTAATGGTTAGTCTCCAAGAGTTATGCACACGAGATGGGAAACCAAATACATTAAATAAGCAAGTAAATATGTGGGATGAGATTAGAGATAGGTCAAACACATGACCATTGCTCAATTAATAATCCAGCATTTACAATTTGGACAGCTAGAGAACTGACAAAAGAAAAGATTTCTGCTAATACTTTTCCACTTCCCATTTTCTTGTGGATCATATCTGAAAGTGATCATGTCTGAAAGCTTATTCATTACCTGTCATTTTCTTCAGGGGCTCCATCATTCTTATTCCAACTCTCTCGACAGCAACAATATTGTTCTCCTTTAAATACTGCTTCAAGGTTGGGTGGATGACCTTCTGGCATATCACAAGACCGACACCATCAGTTATTACTTCCCTGCCTAGACTGAGTAACTGATCCAACATTTCAGCTTCTAGAGAAATTCCACGATGGATAAGTATGGCTCCTTCTCCGGCATGAGACAAATGTCCTGACATAGACATGCCAAACAGAGCCACTTTGATCTGGCCTGAAGCAGTTCTCTTGAAAGGCAGGGTCAGATGCATTTCTGGCATTTCAATTAAAAGTCCAGGATAGACAGCAGAATCCATAACTCTCTTATTTTTTACAGGGATGTAATGGCATTTTCCTAGCACGGCACTAGAATCCACATTTTGGGGGATTGTAAACAGAAAGGCCTTTAATACCAATATACTGACGTGATCGACTTCCTTCCTGCTAAGCATGCAAGCACGTTTGCTCAATATAATGCTGCGCACCAGGCTAAGGAGAAGCTTAGAACTGCTGAAATCCACCGGGATTCGGCAACCACAGGTTTCAGACGAAAGGTAGTCAATGCAGAGGCTCAAAATATGTTTACTAATTTTAATGAATGGGTACCGAGCCATATTCAGGCTTTCGTATTTTTCAAGCAAGCTGCAGCAAAAGATTGCCGTAAATAAGCCACTGTCCCTGAAGAGCGCAAGGTGATTCTGCATAGAGGCAACCAGAAGCTTTAAGACGGGAAGAGTGACACAAAGATTACTCAGCAAAACCGAAGATTGTGATGAAATACGAACATATCCTCCAGTGCCATTGTGAAATTGTTTGAGCCTACCTGTGGGGCCATAGCAGGACTTCATTATCTTACTAAATGTGGAGGCAGCCTGGCTAATCACCTCCTTAGTTAAAGGGCCAGTGGTGCAGAGGGAAGGTTTTTTAACATCAGCGCGAGACATCTTTCCCGACAAAATTCCAGTCAAGCTTTAGAAGCGTTTCATTTCTACAAAACAGTTTTTAATTAGCATTATACATAGGCATGTGAGACCTTGGGTTTTCTTTTGAGAGAACAAAGGGATTTAATAGCACTTATTCGATGTTAAACAATGTGATCAATGTGATGATTGCCGAAGTTGCTTCATTCAGCCAGACTGTTTTGAGTTCATTTCCATGCTGTTTTCGAAGCAAGCTTTGCTGTTTTGTTAGATGGTGAATGGCACCACCAATGAATAAAAATCCAGACATGGACAACCAATTTCTACTATTCCAGCTGCCTTACATCTTTTGTTGATGGAGACCTATAATAAATAAGGGAGATATGCCTATAAGGAGGAGAGGAAGAAAAGAGATCTCATGATACTATAATCACAGAAAAATACATTTATTAAGAACTTATGGCAAACAATCTCTGAAAATCAGGTATAATACTCACAGAAGTGAGTATTTTGCAGGGTAGAAAACATTCTGATAATTTGCCAACTCAGATTACTCATCATAATCTTTTATATAAGCATAATGCAGAAAAAAATAGCATTAACAGTGGGCAGTTATGGATTTTTGCCAATAAAGCACTCAATCTTTGATTTACAGAGATTTATTTCTTCTCTGTTTAGAGGTATACAGATGAAAGTGATATTTTTACACATTTTCTCAGCTCATATCTTAGCAATCCTTTGAAGCTGTTTAGTGATATTTGAAATATTTTCATATATGTGACATTAATCGAAACTTTATTGGAAAAAGTTGTGTGTCAATTGCAAGAAAGTCCAGATTTCATTTTATTACAGAACAGCATGTATACATATTGAATATACATAATAAAAAGATCATAGCCACATCCTAGATGCGTGAACTTGTGTATCCAACTGAATGATACAATATCTAGGAATGTGGAAGGTCCTTTTTGAGGGTAAACTGTAGGTTTGACAAGCTAAAGAGAAATTACAAAAGGCAAGATTTTTACCATGACTGTTTTAAAGGGGGGGGGGGGGTGTTGACCAATTTTTGTGCCAGATCTTTCATACATTGTTTTCTAATAACTGCCTCAGGAATACTTGGCAAGAGAGTCTAAATTTTGGTGGTTTTGAAAGAAGGCCTCTAACTTTTGCAATCAGAATGAAATCTGAAAGTAATTAAACATAGGCAACTAAAGGATACCTGAAACCAACTGGGGCATCCACATAGAATGATTACGTTGCCATTCTGGCACTAACATGGAATTGAACTTGGAATACAGCAAAAGAGTATTGACTTTGAAAAGTTAATGAGGTAGATGGACTTGAAAGAATATTTCCTATGGGGTGTTTAAAATTTTATAAAATAATACATGAAGATTTTGAAATTAACCATAAGAATCCACCTCCTGTGGGAATGTTTTATTGATTGGAAAAGAAACCGATCTTAAAAGGGATTTTGAAAGTTGACTAGAGCAAACCAGAGAGAACTAAGGATTACAATTAAAGCATTAATTAATACCCATTACTACAATGGAGCAATATGTTTTGCTATAAAAGAAATTAAGTCTGTTTGAGAGCACTGTACTTAACTATTACTTACAAGATTGTCTGATATTGTAACAGTGGATATAGAAGAACAACAGATTTTAATGAATAAAACAGATTGAGGTTGACCTCAATATGGATTAGTATTCTTTAAAAATGCCAGATTACAAAAGTGATATGGAAAAAGATGCTGTGGGTCTGAAAATGAATTTATAATGCCAGAATATGAGTGTGATATGGAAAAAGATGCCACAATGAATTTACACATGAAACCAGCTGATATCTTAATAATTAAAGGGGAGGTACAAACAATAAATCAGAAGAGTGACTTGGAAAGTAATCTTATCTTGGATTTATAAAAGGGATGTGTTAAATTAATGCAACTGTTCCTGAGAGGAAAGAAAGAGAAAATGATAAGAAATTAGCTGGTGGGACATTATTTGATAGGATTAAAGATCAAGAAAAGTAAACGGAAGGAATTCAAAGTGGATTTATTTGATCAGAGTCAATATATATGTTGTGGTTTCTGATAGCTATTGATGGAATTTCTTTTTGACCAGGATTGAACAACTCGCTTTAAAGATCAGTTCATAAATGAGAAATTTTTTTTGCTTTGCAGTATTTCTTAGAGAAAGTGTCAAGTTGGAATACAAAATGGACTGATTACATTGAAATATAATATTATGTATAATATTATTAAGTTAAAATGTAATATAATAAGAAATATAAGTTATTACTTTTGGTAGACTTTTGCTGATTAGGACTGAATGCGTTTATATAATTTGATTATTGATAAGGGCTGAGATATGGAAAGAAAGATCTTTGTTTCATTGAAATGTTATAGAAGGTGTGAAGGAAATTGTACTTTTCTGGAGGGAGTCACTTTTTATATAGGTTTTTTTTTACTGTTACTTATGAACTTCTTTCCTTTTTATAGTTTTCTTAATTTGTATTAGTCTTATCTTAAAAGATAAAGTTTTTTTTAAAAAAAGCTCACAGACATAGGCAGGCTAAGAATACATGATTTTGAACAAAGGCACAGATACAAATTTTGCTTTAATGAGTTCAGAGTGAGTGCTATTATTAATTATGCTCAAAAGCTACATTCGTAATAGCTCTGCCAAGGTAGCAGATGAACTGCAGCTGTTCAGCATCACATGAATATTGCCTAACATTTTGGTTCTGCTACATGTACAAATATTGTGAACTGATGAAAAATGATTTAACCAGCTAGGAGAGTATACTGAATATACACAATCGGTACATATATATTTATGTTTGTATGTGTGTATAAGAAAAAGAGAGAGAAAGAGAGAAGGGGTGAAGGGGACAGACTATGTTTGTCAAATCCAATTTATGGTTGTAACTATTATAAAGAGATCATGAAAAAGAAAATGCAGTCAGATTTTTAAGGAACCAGGTTACCCACCTCTGCTTTAATGAGGCTAAAACATTGCCGCGGGATATCAAACTATCCAATTTTCGTAGAGAAAAAGAGAGACAATCAATATTGGGGTTATTTGTTATTATTATATTGTGATTTGATTCTTGCCTAATCCTGTAATGGGTCCTGGCCAGAGCACCAAATTATATTATCTTACGTTTGCCCATTTTGAGTATATAAAATCCCTATGCTTTAAATCTGCTTCCCAAAATTCTATATTGCATTGTGTGGTGTGTGTTTTTTTTTTTGAGAACAGGATGAAATTCAGACAAAATGAATTGCTTGAGGCCAATTAATGAGCTGCTGGCAGAAGCAACATCTCCACATCAGAAAGTCCCTGGTTTTGCGAAATTTTACTAATCCTCATTTTCCAAGGGAAAATTCTACGCTATGACAGCAAAGTAGATCCTTAGTTTCTGTTTGCCAGTTCCTTTCCCGGTCTTAGGATTTACTCATAGAAGTTGTGATGTTGACATTTATGCCTATGCTAGGGAGGGAAGCTTCCTTATGATTTGATACTAGAGGCTCTTTATTGTGGACCATTACTATGTCACCCAGAGGGAGACTCCAGACCACAGTTCTTCTAGAAAAGGCATCAATTCCACAACAGGGTATAGGAAGTTAAAGAGATTAGCTGTCCGTCAACATTTCCTTTTGTGGTCTTAATGGTTGTACAGGTAATCCTCGACTTACAATAATTTGTTTAGTGAC